CTATGGAGGAAATGCCAAATGTGGCTACAAGCTTGGGGAATGGAAGGAAAAAGAGACAATTAACACCTCTTTTTTTTTTTTTTTTTTTTTTGGCTTATTGTATTTGGAGTGGGTGTTGCCATGTACTTATGCATCTGAAAATGGTCTTTCACCAAAAAGAAGAAAAACAATTGACTTCAAAATATTTTATCATGGGCTGGAGGGATGACTCAAGTGGTAGAGCACCTACCTAGCAAGTGTAAGGCCCTGAGTTCAAATTTCAGTACCACCAAAAGAAAAAAAAGTTACAATAAAATTTTTGTCATTATAAGTGCAATTTATTAGTTGTGATTGAACTAAAACTAGGGTTGCAAACACTATAGGCATAGAGACAGACATTTTGTAAATCCAGAAACTGGTCTTCCTTCTAGATATACACACAAAATTTTATTTAATATAGGCATGTCTGAGGATACTTACAACTGCTCCCATATGTTTAAAGAATATAAATTCCTCCAAATTCTTGAGAATCCTTTAAGAGCATTATTTGAATTAATCAGTAAAAGTTATAATAATCTCAGAATGTTCTATACATTTTTAAGAACTTGAAATTTTACACAGCTACTAATGCAATATATATTCCCAAGAATTCTATTAATAATTGTCAGACTCCAGTCAGGCACTTTAGGATTTACCAGGATAGCCTACACTCATCCATCCCTTCCATTGAATAACATTGGATTTTGCCTGAAACGAGTAGGCAAATAGAAAAATGACCTCATTTTTTAGTCTGAATACAAGAGTACTGAGGATATTTTTCAAGGGTGTGACTTTAATACTGGATCTTAGTTTCAAGTCCAAAAGGCCAGACTGCAGAGAAGAGGACGATGAGTGCATCCTTGTGATCGCACCTATAAAGAGAGGGGCTGTCTTCCACAGCTAAGTCACATGCACAGACTGTAGCTTTCTGCTCTCTGGCCAACCGAGCGCAGCCCTAGCATCCTTATTGTTGTAACTCCCAGATTGTGATACTGTCACAAAACTGTTGCTAGGCAAACAAATGTGGTTACCAGGTCTCAGCGAATAGCTGAAGGGAAAGCAAAGTGTTGCTCCATTGTAAAGTAACCATAGCAATGACCTACTATTACAGACTAAAGAATTATCATTAACAATGTTAAAGTATCAGACAGAGGCTCTGAATTCGCAGCCTTCCAAGCATAATTGAGTGATCTAGAAAGAGATTCCAACTGTTTTAAATCTATTTACTCATTATTTCTATGGGAGAGTTTCTGTAATTATTTTCTTTTTTGCATTTTTTAAAAATTGTGAAGCTATTGGATAAATGGTATAAGCTATCATGAGAAATCAAAAACAGATTAATCTATTTCTTCATGTACTCTAATGCCGGCATCAGTATTATTTGCTGCCTGTGTCAAAATTGAAGGTAAATTTGATACATTAAGTCCGAACTACAGAAAGAAGGTGTAGTAAAATCCCTGTAAATTGACAACTTCTAAGCGGAATCCCTTCTGACAGAATAGGAGGCCTACATGTTTTTTTTGCAGTCACTGCTTTGAAACTTTTTTTTTCCAGCTTTTCTAAATCTATCCCCCTAAAATCAGAAAAATGTCGCCCGCTAGAGAGCCTCTTTTGAGTGTGGTCCTTCATTAAGCAGCCCGCATGATTTGGTCCCAGTAACCTCACTGAGGCAATCGTGTCTAACATCACAGCTTCTGGGAGAGGCAGAAAAAACCGATTTCCCCATCGGGAAGCAAAGACTCTTGGGTGCTGTGAGTGGTGTGGGAGCGAGATTCCGCACGCGGGGAAGCCAATCCCCGCGCGCGCCGGGCCGGGGTAGTGGGTGGTTTCCAGGCGGGAGAGGGAGTGGCCCTTCCCGCCGAGCTCCTCCATTGGCCCGGAGGGGCTGAGGCCTCGGGGACTCTCGGCCGCGCCTCCGGCAGCCCGCGAGCAAGTCCTCGCCGTGTGCCTGAGTCGGGCGTGATGGGGACTCAGACGACGCGGCCCGGGCCTGGGCGCAGCTGCGTGCGTCCGAGCCCCGCGGAAGGTGAGCGCAGATACAGGTGCGCCGGGCCCGCTGCCCCAGCAGCCTCCGGCACGGCGGCCCCGAGACGCGCGCCCGCGAGGGGCGGTACCCGGGCTCGGGGCGGACGGGCGGGGCCCTGGGGCGGGGCGCGGGGACCGGCTCGGCGGGGACGCGGCCTGCGAACGAGGCCGCCGATAATCAACCCTGTGCTCTCTCCGCAGGCACCGACCGCCACGAGCTCACTTCCTGGAAGAGCTTCCCGTCTATTTTCAAATTCTTTACCGAAGCCTCTGAGGCCAAGACCAGTTCTCTGAAGCCGGCTCTGACGCGACGCTCCCACCGAATAAAACACGAAGAGCTGTAAGAGGAGAGCGGGCGCGACGGGGCGGGACGCCGGGAACCGCGCCCGGGCGCGTCCTCTTCATGGCGAGCAGCCTCCCAAGCCCCTCATTAGATTGTTTTCTTCCTAGAGCACAGGGTCGTGATATGTACATCTAAGTAGCGTTTTGCATTATTTCTAGATGAGTGCAACTGTCAAAGCAATATGGGTTCACTGGTCGCGCTTCCCGCGGGCCGAGCTCGGCTCCGCGCTGCCGGCCCGCGCGCAGATCCGGGCTGACAGCGCCCGGCCCGCGCCGTCGGCCGCTCTAATTGCCTGGCGGAGCCATGGGCGCCCGCGGCGTCTGCGCGGTCCTACCGCCCGCGGCAGCGAGGCCGCCCCGCCGCCTCCCTCCGGACCACGTCCGCTTTACCCGGCCTGAACGAACGGAGCACGCTTTTATTCTCCACCTCAAAACTTCCACCTTAACTTTTTTTCTTTCTCTTTCTTTTTCTTTCTTCCTTCCTTCCTTCTTCTTTCCTTCCTTCCTCTCTTTCCTTTCTCTTTCTTCTTTCTTTCTCTCTCCTCCCTCCCGCCCCCCTTTCCTCCCTCCTTTTTCTTCTCTCTCTCTCTCTCTCTCTCTCTCTCTCTCTCTCTCTCTCTCAAAAAGACCCCCACCCATGCCAAATTTAAATTTAGAACATGAATGCCAGGATGTACTATATAGTTTGGGGAGTGCAAATTGTTCTTTTCCTAACGATCTATTTTCATTTCGAGACCAGGAGAAAAACATTGCATAAAGATCTATGAAATACCAAATTCGCATTACTGCTAAACATCTTTGCCAGTTGAATGAGACTTTACACAAATCTCCAGTTTCAAAAAAGAATGTTTAAACCAAAACATGAGATCTTGTAAGTGTAAGTGTGAAAGGTCGCATTTCAATGGCATTTCCAACTTTATTATAAGCGTTGACTTTACTTTTTAAATATGTAATGTGTAATGAGTGGCGTTGTAATGTACATGACACACTGAAGTTATGCATTTATGTCTTACTGTGGAGGGAGGTGGTGGTGGGTGTCCTTGTCATTAATCCCCACTAGAATGACCTTTAGCGGTTGTGGAGTCAGGCCCTTTTATGTATACAATTTTTATTGTCAGAAAAATGAAACTGGGTCCTCTGGAGCCTTTCCTTTCTGGTAAGCTACATAGGGCTAAAATGATTCTTTCCGTTTTCCTCTCCAATAGGAAAACAGAGACTGGGTGTGAAAGATTTTCTCCTTTCAGTCCAATAGTTAACATTTTTAGTATTCCACTTCCTCTGTAGGGTTTTGCCCTGTAATTTCAACAATTAACTATTTTAATCCAGCTAAGATCTGGCCAACACTGTGAAATACAAAAGATAGAATAAGTTAACATTTTCTCACTTCAAATTAAAGTATTATATTTTAACATCAATTTTTAATTACTTGAAGAATTTAATTTATCTAGCGAAGCTTATTTCTAATAAATGAAGTTCTGAATTTAATATTTCTCATCCTTTTTTAAAGTACATGCAACAAGTAATGTGCCTGCCTTATTTGAAGACATAAGATGTACCCAAAATAACATGGTACTGTCTAATGCCTCAAAAAAAACCTGAAATCAACCACCTCATGGATAAATGTTTTATGTTATGAGCTGGTTTCAGCAAGTTTCGAAACTAATTAATATCTCATGCTGTGTGGCATACAAGTATATTCATTCGTTCTATAGTTTCAATGATGGCAAATTCAAGTGATCTGTTTTCAGCAGTCATGTCTGTATCTTTTAGGAGAAAAAATCAAAGTGGCAATTTATCCAGTTCCTGGGTGGTTTACAATGTGTAATCCCAACAATGTCAAGCACAGTGGTCTGTGATATTAACCCTTTTTATTGGATCTTTCCTGTTTTAGAAGTAATGGTAAAGTGTTTAAAATAATGGTATCTTCCACTGAGAGAATTTGAGAGTTGATGTGGATTCAATATATTTTTTCAAGTGTTATTAATTGTCTTGTTTTCAGTATATGAAAATGTTCACAGGAAACTAATTTATAGCATTAAAAAAAAAACCAGTTGTGCAAATGCTGAATTTGTGAAGCTTCTGCAGCTGAATTAAAACAAATAGGCTCGCTTATAACGAACTCCTGCTCCTTCTCTCCAGTTTTCTCACCTCTTTTTTAAAACCTTGTATACAGAAAAATCACTGTTTAAATGCCCTTAATACTTTTAAACTACTGGATTGTAAGGCCCTTTTTAACTATCTAAAGAGGAGCTATTTGCAAACTTAAGTTGTGTAAATGTAATTCTACTTGTGGATCTGAGCTATGGCAAAACCTAGAGGGAACTGGCAAACCATTCCAGACCGCCAACTGATAACTGATGCGGTTCCTTATAATGTTTTTTAACCTGTTGATGTTAGTATAAACATATAGTATGTGGGAGTAGCAACAAGCAGTGGGTGGTAACCACCTGCCAAGGAGCAGCTTGTATTACCAGTCTTTCTGCTCTGGTCTTGTCCCCATTCCGGTTTCCTTAGAGAAGTTTTCTGTTGAGTAGAGGTTTTAAGGTTAGAAAGTGGGCTTTTTATTTTAATTACATATTTAATTCGTAGAGCAAGTGGGCTGAGAAAGCAGGTGTTGGTAAATCTAAGATTCAAAACTAGCCCTGTTGAAACTTAAAGGCCAGTTAACAGCGTAGAAGCTTTGTAAAGGTACCTAAGTACAAGTCCTTAAAAGTCTCCATGTGTATTTGAAGGGATCCATGAATGTGTAATAATTGCTCTTTTCTCTAACTTCTACCTTGTGCTTCCATTGCATTCTTGTTATATGTCAAAAAAAAAAGAGTAAAGCATAGAAGTTACCTGTATATTATATCTTTCTGTTCACCATTTTAAAATAAAAGACAGTTTAACTAACAAGCAGTAGTGTATTATTCCTGCTCAGAAGTTCCTTTATTCACCAACCATGCAGAAGTTTTTTAAGCTGAAACATAAAAGGAATAATGGGACAACATTCATCAATATTTTTTAAACTCACAGCTACTTATTATTACTATTGTTATTGACATAAGGTAATATCCTAACTTGAGTTGAATCACTATTTGGCTCCCATCTTTCACAAAAGTAACATTTTAAGTCATTTGTTCTTAGTATTTAAAATACCTCAACAAGAAATTTTGAACAACTCATCATCAAATACTGTTTTATAAAATAAACTTTAATATACCATAAATAAGTGTGTTTTCCAAAGGGAATCTAGTGGGATTAAATTGCTCTCAAACGCCTGTTAACCTATTGTTTCCAATCTGAAACTAACTTGTTCACATTTACTTTACACTTATTCCTTCCTTAAAATCTGTAGCTCCTTTGAGAGGATTTGGGTGACAAGATATGTTAACTGTATTATCACTGCTAATAAATTAGAGGTTTTTTTTTTCCTGATCCTCTGGATTAGCTGAAGTTTCAATCCAAACACTGTGTGTATCTTATTATTCATAGCTTCTACTGTAAACCGATAGCTTACTGTTAGTGGCTGTACTCCTAATTCATTTAAGAAAGATTACTATTACAAGTATAAAATTTCTTTTTAAAAAATTTCCCCATGACTCTGGGGGAGGATATGTCTTTAAATAAATGTGAGACATTCTTATCTTTGAAATATGGTGGCAAAAAAGGGGATGATGATGGTGGTGATTTTATGATACTTATTAGGGGCTATAATATATAAAATAAGAGACTCCAGGAGGTACTCCCTTTCAAAAGTTGAATACTTTACTTCCTTCCTTGTATAGAATGACTGAGTGGGAGTCTCTTGAATTGTTCATCTTCCTTTTATCTAATATTCTATTAATCTCCAAAAAAGATCAGTTTGAGTCTGGGAAAAGGTTTTTAATCAACACTTCACAGAGCTTAAAGCTACCCTACCTAAAGCATCAGCTTTGTTAGGTGGTTTTAGATTTAAAGCATTGCAACTGTCATGCACTGTACTAAAATAAAGAGAGTACACCAAGTGGAAGATGTTGAAAAGAGGGAAATAGCACAAAGTCGATTAACGGAGATTCGAGGATAGAAGTAGTCATCAAAGCATTCCAGCATTTATCTTGAAATCTATGTAGGTTTTTTTTTAAGCAGCAATGATAGTTTTAAACCTCATACTTGGGAAGGATGAATGTTGATTTAATTGATTCATTTGGATCGATGTTTTTAAAGTTTCACACCACTGATCTTTCATGTGGTGATGTCTTTAGCAGTCAGTGGTCTGACATGAGGCTTCTCAAATTTCATCAGTGGGACTCTCCATGACATCTAAAATTATGCAACAGCCTGTGCAATGGTAACTTTGGAATCAGAAGACCTCAATGTCAGTGTTCATGATTAAACTGAAGAGCTCTTGTTAATTTTAGCACAAAAGTTTTACAGGAATAATAACTATAAATGAACCACGAATGTTAAAGAATTGCTAGATAGAAGGAAACTGTCCTAAAATTTGACCATTAAGAAGATATCGTAGAGTGACCAGTATTTTCCCCTTGAGTGAACAAATTTTGAAAATGGAAATTGGACTTAATCCATTTCTTCCAAGCAACTTTTCCTAGTCCTTTGCCTTGAGATTTGTAGAAAACCTTTCACTATATTTCTTTGTGTTGTTGGAATTGAGTTGTACTTACATCAGACATAAAATGTATTTCTAGAAAAAAACCTAGAAAGATTCTGCATCTTTGCAGATCATTCACCTTTTTCTTCCTTGGCTATTACATCAGGCAATATAGGAATCTATCATAGGTAAAATATGTTGGACTGTACTTTGTGGGCAGCCTGCAGTACCAATACAAAGAACCTGAAATGAAAAGACAACCAACACCCCAAGAATGATATGTCGCTTTTTAAAGTTTACAATTTGAATAATGAACTTGGATAGAAACTTGGCAGGAAAACAAACCATGGCACCATCACATCACCAACCATTTTCACTTTTCTGTCCAATTTCAGAGTGCATGTGTTTGTGAGTATTTCACTAGATCAGTGACAGCTCTTTATTTGCATAATTATATGCTCTGGTCTGAAGAGAAAACTAACCCCCAAATTTCATGGGTCACCAAACTGCAACAATCAATGTTTTATCACGTATGCTAAGCAAAATCTAAGAAGCTATATGAAGTTTCTTGGGGAGTTTTTACTCCTCAGAAAATTAAAGAGTTTTCCTCTCCTGAATAGATTCAAAATCTTTCCAAGTTCTTTGTAACTGAATTCTGTTTGAAGGCAAAACTAGAGATTAACATGTAGATCTGGATGTAGACTCACTAGCATTACTTCAAAGTGGCTTAAGAAGAGCAGCATTTTTTGGTGAACTAAACTTTAAAATTCTAAGTCCTGTTCTTCATGCTATGAGGAAAATATTGGCCAAATTGTGGTCTGTCAAATTGTGGTCTGAATTAACTACCATTGGATGTAAAGTTTATTCCCTTCTCTAAAACAACTCAGGGGTTTTTTAAGACCTAATAGAAAAATATATCTCTGTGCACATACATGCATATGTTCCA